GGGAACCACTAGAGGCCACTAGAAGTCTGAAATTGCGGAATGAGAGCCTGGATAGAGGGAGAGAGCCATGCAGGATAGCGAGCACAAGCTTTATCAGTGAAGGAATTGATATTAAGGCTAGTATTTGCAGTGCAGCTTTTTCGCATAATACATAAATTCAGAAAATACAAGAATTACTTCCATTATTTCAATATAGTAATTTCAAAAAGCAGTGCATGTATCTAATGAATCGAATTATCAGGAGTCCCAGCTATAAAGGGTGGCAGGAGGAAATGAAGGAGAGTTTAAAGACCACAAATATAAAGGTCAGCTTCAGTTTTGTTACTTTGCTAATTTTTAGTCTTGACAGGGACTTTTGGCCTTTAATTTTGTGGTTTCTTTCCCTTAACTTGTTTCTTTCTTTTTTCTTTTTTTTTTTTAAGGTTAAACTAACCATTCTTATTTTCCAGAACTTACCCCTCAAATCTGCCCTGAAAAATAATAATAATAATTTTCAAAAATCTGCTACCTACCATCTTCCTCTCCAGGTAATAACATTTTTTAAGATACCAGTCCACTTCGATAGAGTCATCTCAGGTGAAACAGATTTTGAATAGTCACAGCAAATACTGACAAGCCTTTTGCCTAAATGGAGAAAGAACAACATCCAGTTAATTCTCACTTAACCTTTTAGCAATAACTAAGCAAAGACTAACTATCAGTGAAACCATGAATATGTGCATTATAAGATAAATTACCAGATAAAAATCGACATTTTCTGTTTACCCCAGAAGCCAAAGAAACTGGTTCCCAAATGCATCAATTAGTAGGCTGATGTTACTAAACCCTCTAGGTTGATGTTACTAAATCAAAAAACATACAGGTTTTTCCCCAGTCTTCCAAAACTGCAAAATTTGAAACAACTGGTGAATTTGACTTTTATTTTGCCTCATAGCTTTCCTTTCTAAAAATACATATAACTTTTAAATCTTAGTTAATTTGGTTAAATGTCTCGGTATCTTCAGTTTATGTGCCCCACTGTAGATTCATTCTGCATGCAGGTATTGAACACATCTTTAGAGACAGTATTTTCAAAAGGAGCTGAAGTTGAAATAGCTGTAAATCCCCTTTCCACCTGCTGAGAAAATCAAAGCCACTTGCATTTATTTTTTTTTGTCTTTTGATTTACCTATTTCCAGGTGCACTTTCACATTCTTATTGGGGACTCCAAAGTTGGGTTTGGGGGGGAGGTGGCATTTGTTTCCCTGATCAATATAGTTAATAAGCAAATTACCAAAGCTCTTGTAGTTTTTTCTCTAAAGATGTGTTATTTGAAAGTACTAAGGCAAACACACAATTCAGTTCACACAGTCCAGTGCAGAAACTACCATAAATCTACATCAACAACCTTCAGTTGTTTTCCAAATATCCTGCCATAGGCTATGGCAAGGTGCTGATTGGCAAGGCTGTGTATCCTCTTTTCGTGATGTAGGAGTGTTTTGCTGGCATATTTGAAAGGGCTCCAGTTTCCCAGGGGGATGGGCCAAAGGACCTTGTCACTTAAAATTGCTTTAGCAAGTGGCATCTTCCTAGAAACCACGTTAATAATGTTGATAAATCCTGATCCAGATAAACAAGGGCACCAATTATCTAGGCTAATTTCACACTGAGATCAGCATGAATCCATTTCCAAAAGCAAGAGGCAGCATTTTCATGCTCACGGATCTCTAACATCTCTTAGGCTGCAAGTTGCTAATAAACATTCATTGGGTTAAATAATGACTTTTGGCTCTCAGCTCTTCTAATTTGTTAACAGGAACAGCAGATACAGAATTGGAGTTTGTATAAGCTTTACTTACATAAGGAATCCCGATGACAGATTGATGTCATTCAACCAGACCTCTTCACATGATTAGGCCTTGTGCAATCAGCCTCTTCTTTCTTTCCTGCTTCTATTCCAAGCTGAAAATTAGCATTGGGTGAGCCTCAAACAATTCAGTTTGAATTACCAGAAGTTTGGAGCACATTTCTTGATGATTTAAATCTGCATGGGATATCTCAGGAGAATTGGTACCAGCTGCATAGAACTTCCCACAGCCAGTTTTCATGAATGCAACATCACAAGGACAAGGTTTATTTCCAAGGGCAGAAGCAAGGTGGTGAATTCTCGTGTGAAGCTTCAGATCCATTGTCAAATTCACATAGCACTAGATTACCTGAAATTCACCTTTGAGTGTTTTAGAAAAACAAATGTTCCACCTTGTCTTTGCTGAAACATCTGTAAAACTCCAACCACTGCTAACAACAAAACAATTCCTAGAACAGGGAATGAACAGAAAGCTGAAATTTTAGAATATTTTTGTATGAAGTAAGGGAGATTAGTCTATTTTGTGTCATATTCAGTTTTTAGCTTGATTGTTATCAAGAAGAAAATAAAGGACAGAAAAGGATCAGTTGTTTTTAAATACATTTAATGTTATGAAACATATTGTCTTTATACTGTTTAAATCCTAGCTAAATCTTAACATCAACAATAATAAAAGGTTTTTAAAAATCTTTTCTTTAATCACACTTTGTTTTATTGTAGGGCAGAAAACAAACAGAGTCATCATAAATAAAACATTGACATGGAGTATAAGACAAACCCAGGCCAGACAGTTTGCTAAAAAGTTTATGAAAAGTGCATCTGACTGGCTCAGGACTCCCTGAGTAAGGCAGACATTCTCCCACACACCTCTTGGCTGTTTGGCCTCTCATGAGAAAATCTGAAATAAAGGCTGCCTTTCTTATTCTAAAGGTATTGCATATACATGCCACTTGCAGTGTGAGGTAGGAACCAGTTTCTAGGGGCTGTGTCTAATCTGGGCCTCACCTTCTTATTGTTGCCCCTCCATTTGCTATGCAAAGAGATAGATTTAAGTGCAAAACAAAGCCTTAGCTACCTATGAAAATGAACTACTGTTTACATCCAATTGCAATTTATCTGTAAGGAAGGACACTTGTCAGGATTTTCACCTTCAAAGTATTAAGAGGCATAAAAAAACTAGATGTATTTGTGTTTCCAAAGGATGTCTTAGGAAAAAAGGGGACTTGAACACTAGGAGAAACTGTTTTCAGGTGACCCAATTCAAAACTCCATGATGTTTCTGTTTTGTAACTGAACCCGTCCTAGAGTAAATTCTTAGTTGAAAAATAGCAGCAACTCAAAAGTGCATAAATTACAAACTTCATCAATAAATTAAGGAAATGGATTTGCTGCATCTAGCTATCTTCCTAACTGCCCCAAGATCCTTTTCATTTTATAATGACATGGAAAATTAGAATAAAAGTACTATTATTTCAAAACCAAAACTAATCAAAAATCTTCAATAGATTCCTTCTGAGATAAGGCATCTTGTCTTTTACCAAAATTCAAAAGATATACAGAAAGACTGGAAGGAGTCCAGTAATAAGACACCTCTCTCCTCCAGGACCAAGGATTAAACATAGGCTTTTCCTTCCATATGTAGATTTGTAATTCAGAATGTGAGTTTTCAAGAAATGCCAAACATCTCATTCCCAGGGATGCTGATTATTTCAGAGCTTGCACAGTAGGAAGACTGAGGAGAGATCCAGTCCCAAGAAGCAGGGGAGACAGGATGCTTCAGCAAAATTTTCAGCTGTATTATGTGGAGCTGTGGGACTTGCAGTTTGATTCATGTCTCATACAGACTCCTCCAGGTCCTGCATTCACAGCCTAAGTAGTCCAGTGGCCATTTGAAGACTGCAGATGTCAGTGCTGAAGTGGCATTTTGGATCCTGATATTGAAGGCCTGGGCTCTAGAGGACCCCTTTCCATCAGCAATCCATGAGAGCACAGAGTAGGAAAAGTGCTTAATCAGTGTATAAGGATTTACTCTGAAGTTCTTATCAGAACTGTTCTTTAATGTGAAATTATTCTTTGTCCTCATAAGACATATTCATATTCAGGATCATATTCAGATGGCAGAGATGAATCCATCAGTGAAGCAAGAGAGTATCAGTAATTGCTTTCTTTGCAGTGAGGTTGTTTCCACTGGCTGGCATGCCCTTGGAAAAGTGTGGTATTTCTTGAACAGAAAAGGTAGTTCCCAGTTTATTTGTGGTGAATGTTTATTTTTCCTTTAGCACAAATTTAAATGTTGTTTCTTTCCAGAGAGATTGTTCCAGGGGCACACTTTTTACTAATAAAATAATTGGGGTAGAGCTTGTGCTTCTGCATCTTAAGCATACTGTGAGTTGAACAGAGTAGACCTAGAAGACAACAGGTACAGAGGTAGCAGCACAGTATTGTGATAAAGCACTTCCATGAGAGCATCTTCAAATAACTTGAACTTCACAGAATTCACAAAAAAAATTGTGTTAACAATGTGCTTTGAAATATGATCATCAAGCTTTTCTCTTTTCTTTTCCAATTTTCTGCAAGCACAGAAAGTCTACTTTTCCTTAGCTAGGACCTCCCCTCAGTCCTGCTGATCCACTGTTAGTTACCAAGGCCTCTGAGCAGGGTGAGCATCCAGGATCTCAGCTGCAGTTGGTGCAGGTGATAGTCTCTAACAAGGCTAATAATCAAGGGTTCACTTTGCTAGAAACACAGCTGTGACAACATTTGGTTCACTGGAGGAAAGAAGGTTCAGCTGCAAACTTTGGCCATGGCTGAAGAAAACTTTCTAGTTTTTTCCCTCTGTAAATTGTTTGCATTTAAAATAGGGTAAATTGGTAGCTCTTAAGTGTTGGTTTAATGATGTCAGTTCATAATTTCTGGTAGGTGAGAAAATTCACAGCTCAAAGATGGGGCAGGCAATTTCATTTGTTTAGCATGAGTTCAGAAGGGGTTAGGATCTCTGACAGCAAAGATAGCATTTGCTGTAGGCTAAGGTTGCTTCAACCAAAACTATATAGGAATATATATATATATATACTAAAAAAATAACCTTTCAGAATTACAGACAAATATGAGTTACACATAGTCTATGTAGTTAAATCCATTCTTTACTTTGGAATTAGATGCCAGTTTTTGAGGTAATCCAGTCACGGAAATAAGTCACTCTTGTGTAAACTCCAGGCTTATTTGGTTTGGCACATTCGTCTCCCCAGCTGACTATTCCCACGAGGTACCACATCAGTCTGGTGTCTGGAGTAACCAGTGGTCCCCCAGAGTCCCCCTAGAGAAACAGGAGGAAAATTTATTTAATTGATCAGAAGGGAAGATACAATTCTCTCCACAGACAGGAGGGTCTACGCAATAAGAGAAGTAAGCAAGCAGTATTTCAGGAGTTGCCATTTGTGTAGAATCCAGGCTGTTTCTGAAACTTGAATCAGAAGTCTGTGGCGTTTTCCTGTTTGCCGTTGAACCTTCTGACCTCTGTCTCCATAGTTTTGCTGTAAAAAAAACCCAACAAACAAACCAAAGAAAGCTTCTCTTCTGTTTTGTGAAACATTGCTTCCCACCTGCCTTGTCTGCTTCCTTGTACAAAGCAGGGAAACACAAATCTGTACAGCAATCTAAGCCCTCAGGAACTTTTTCTTTTACCAGTAACAACTATTCTTAAAACAACTTATTTTAGTCACTTACAGCAATAACATTACCGAAAAGGAGTTTGAAGCAACTTTTTGCTTGGAGCTTGCATCAGGAACTTGGTATTCTAGTTAGTATCTCCTTAAGATGTTATCCACTTTCAAAGGCTGAATTCAGATACTGTTAATTGCATGATAGGGTAATAATAGTTCAACTGGAAACTGTACAGGCTGAAAGGCAATCCTCACACAACAGACCAAAATGCTTTACTGAAATAAACAACAGTTGCACCTTTGAGCCGGACAAGAGGAGAGAAATGAGCTTCCCAGACTTATTCTGCAGGGAGTTTTTCTTTAGGCATAAATATGTAGGACTGGGCTTCAAGAAAGGGTCTGTTTTGAACCAGAACTTCAGAGTACAATCTTTGAAGATAACATAATTAGAAATTATGTTTTTCAAAGTTATTGCTGTGGAAATATTTTTCTTTTAACATAAGCATTTCCTTACAGCATTTGCAAACCTGCACTACACGTGTCCTTCCCATTCTTTTACACTTAGCTTCCTTATCGTTTTGTTTCAGTTTTTGTTTCACTGATCCAAGCCTGTTACCAAAGATCACATCGTAACAGATCTGTTATGACACGATCCAGCCCAGAATTTAATTTCAGTGAGTGGTAGTGCATTTTTGCTGACAGCATTTTTAAACTTCTTCTCATTTGCATAGATGTCTGGTCTTCACTACTTGAGACATTTACTTTTTAGCTCATAATTAGTATTTCAGCACTTAGGGCTAAATTATGTGTACTAAATACTGTTTCACTTCACAACATAATTCCTGTTTGAATGGAGCCTATTTAAAGGACTAATACACCTTCAGTTTGGTCAACCAGGTACTGCAGTCAGCACTAAAATAGTTTCAGTTACAATTACCTGACAAGCATCTACTCCTCCTTCCAAGTATCCTGCACACAACATCCTGGGTGTTATGTCCCCATCATACACTTCTTCTCTGTTGCAAGTGTTTGAGTCAATAAGTTTCACTGTTGCTTCCTGAAGAGCATTTGGAGTTGGACCTGAGAGAAAATATAGTTTGGGTATTTATCAACAGAATCACTTTGCAGTAATTAAGATACAGGAAGAGTGTTTAATGTTCTCTTATGGAGGACCAGATTAATTTGGCTTAATGTGAAGACTTTGCTTGTTGTTCTGCCTAGGTTAGGCCCTTAAGAAAAATGTATATTGGATCGTAGATTCAATTGGGAGCCATTCCATTAAGACAGAAGTAATGGTACATAGTGCCTTAAGTGTAAACCCATATATTTTATACATGTTCTATATTGTACCATGGAACACAAATTACCTAGCAATTTGGGCAGATGATATGAAATGAAGACATCTTGATTCCATTGCTAAACCTCCTACTAGTGTGGCCTGGTAAGAGTGTGAGATTGGTAAGTAGCAGCTTACTCTGCACATTTACCTGGAAGCCCACAGAGCTATCTGTAGCTTCTGGCTAGAGGCGGCAAAATCTTTTTTTTAGGTGCTATATAAACACAAGCATGGCTGTACTACCTGTCTTAAGAATTTATAATATGAAATGGAAAGGCTGGAGAAACAGAACAGTCTTCTTCCTGTTTTCTGCTTTAGTGTATTGTAGCTGTCTTTGTCCACTCCAATTTTACAGCAACGAACTGCTGCTTACAATTAAACAAATCTATTGTTTATAGACAAAGCATTAGGTTTGCTGCCATATAACATATGGCTACAGAAGTGATATCAATTCAGTTGCAGATCAGAACCACTGTTTATGTACCATGGAGGTCACCTGGCAGATTTAGGACTCACCGTCATTGGTAAGTGCTCCCCAGCCTGTAATGACAGCATAAATATTGTATGGAAAAGTCTGAGATGGCTCCGGCAGACAAACGCGGTGTATGTGACTCGTAAACTCAACTCGTTTAGAGAGCTGCACAAGTGCAATGTCATAATCATGTTCTGGGTAGAGGTACTTTTCATGAATAATAATAGTCTTGACTGATCGCTTCAAGCTTGGTGGCTTCAAAAGAGCTCCAAAAGTAGCAGTCCACTTCTGAGGGTGAGTCATGCTGAAAAAGGTAAAAGTGCTGTAAGTATTTTGCTCTAAATATATGTGTTTGGGACTTTAAATTTGCTGAGCACCTTTATTGTAAAGCTCCTTCAAGCTAGCTCCCTACTAGACTCTTACGGCATCCATCACTTTCTGTAACAGTGTTTGCCACGGAACTGTGAGGTGCTGCTAGAAGAGTGCAATGCTGCATTCCCTCCTCTGCCATAGCCTTTGTACTCCCACCCTGCTCATTGCCCCTGATCCAGCCATTGCGTGAGCACAGGGGGTCGTCAAATCAAAAAGCTCTTCTGCAAGAAAACTCTTAATCTCTCTTTTTGCATCTTGATAATCTGTTCAATCAGCTGATTCATTTTACAATGCCCTGCAGCTTCACAGTTGCCATGCTTGAAACAAAAAAGTGCTGTGAGTGCATGGCTGAACATGGGATGATAACTGCTGGTAGAAGCCTGCAGTGGCAGCAACCTCATTGTAACACAAAGGAGCACCTTTAAGAAACATTTAGTAAAATTGGAAACAAATACTCCATCACTTGAGTCACATTACCTTTTTCTGCTCTTCTTTGCTCAATATGCCAAATGACTATTGATTTCCACTCATAAAATTGCCAGTTCTGCTCCAAGGGATCAGTCTTTAATTTCTCATTGAAACATTCAAGTGATGGGTCTGCTTAATCCTGACTTTTCTCCTCCAAGGTGGAAAATTGTTCCCCCAGGAAAGAGTCAGGGGTGTGGTGCAAATCTGGAAAGCCACACAACTTAATACACAAGGGGCACATTTTGCTGCAGATTCTGAGATGGGAACTTACTCTCTGAAGCAATGAGCTGCAGACACAAGCCACGTATTGCTGATGAGTGTTGCACCACAGCGATGGATGTTGTTGTACTGCAAACTAGCTTGCCATGGCCAGTCCCCAGTCTCTGCAGAAGTCAGTCCACCAACTATTCGCAAAGATGATGATTTTGCCATTGACTTGACTGATCTATTTTGTCGTAACCCACAGACTGTGAAAAAGGAGAAAGAACATATCATCTGGTTATTTAGTAAATATTCCTGCCGATGGCTGTGAAAAACATATGTAAAATTACACATCACCTAGGTTCTCCAACAGTGCTAACACCAACAAGAAAACATGCCTTCCACCAGCCTCCCAAATCACAGCTCCTCAAGCACAACCCATTCTGTAAGAAGCCTGAGGGAACAACTGACTATTATGGAAAGCCATGATGGTCAAACATTCAGACTTAGCTACATGAGCAGCCCAAATCAGGAATCAAAACCTTAACCACACACCCAAGACAGTTCCCAAATATAGTGGTTGCCAACTTTAATACCTCGGGTAATTTTTTTTTAGGATAAAACAGGAAAAAGGCAAAATCAGAAATGAGAATGATCCAAGCCATGGGTTTTTACCATGCATGCACACAGATTACATCAGCAAGATGTCACCTGGAAGCAGGCAACTAACTGCTGAAGTCTGCAAGTGGACCTGGAGAGGCACTTCAGTCACACTAATCCAATCAGAGATGACAAAGCTTGGATACCTCCAGCATGGTGTGCATCCACGACACAAAAGAAGTATCACCATCCAAACCCAGAGAGAAATTAAAATATCCACAGTTTCAGCCACTAAACTCAGGATATTCAGGAGCAGCTGAAGCTCCCCTGTAGCTTTAGAAACATCCTCAATGAACAGAGCTGCTTTAGCAGTCTTCTCCCGTCCAAAGAGCATCAAATCCATCTTACCTGGACCAAGACCCACTAGTTTTCATCCAGGCTCCAATTTCAGCTAGACATTAGAAAAGTTGACAGACAGGACTATCCCAATTCATTGAAAAAGAGACAGAGCTAAGAATTATGTGCATGGTGACAACACAATCCAAACCATTGCATGGCTCATCTCCCACAGACCCATGAGGGCCCAAAGCAGAAATCGGTAGTACATCAGTGAAGAGCTGCCAGCCCCAGGGCCCTTGAAGTCCTCAGGGCGAAACACTGGAACCACACAGAGTGTAACCTCGGCCCTTT